TTTGAGCTAGCAAAATTTTTGAGGTAAGATGAAAAAATTCCTGAACAGCGCCTACTGCAACTCAACACACCTTTATCAATTTAACTCAATCTGTTTTGGTTTACGTGCGCTTTAGTCTTTCAGAGTAAAGTGTCCAAATTATTGTTTATACTGTGGTTTCCTTTTGAGAATTGTTTAACTAGCGTACAGAAATTTATATTGAGAAGTGGACATTTTGCAGTCCTCTGTTTTCTCGAAATTCAGGAAGCAGCCTTAATAGCTCTTAATGTATTTAGGTTAAATTCGAATTGTTTCTCCCAAAGCGCGCACTCGAAAGTTGACTGCAGCAAACTAACACAACTATGCATTACATAACAAACGCTTTCTGTTGAAATGCATGTACTTTGTATGAGCAGCATAAAGCATACCTTTAGTAAAGCTCTGTTATGATTCTTGAGATTGCAAACATCGGAAGTTTAACTATATAAAATTTAACTACATAAACGGCGGTCTGTTTTGCACTTATCGGAAATACAGTCATCTTACCTTAGATCTCAAACTTTTCCGGCACTCGTCTTCTTCTGACAAACGGGCAGCCCGAAATGAACCGACTTAAATGCAGACTGTAATTTAAAATCGCATTTGCGTGAGAAATGAGCTGTCATTGCGGTATTTATTCTTATTGGTGGTCTTTGACACTTCGTCTTTGGTGATAAGTTGCATTTTCGTTAAGCACCTTCCGTACACGAAAACTTTTTCACAACCCTAGTTAACTCGCGTGCTTCTTTGAAGGCAGTTGACAACCAGGGTGATTGACTACATTGAAATGGTCACTTGTGATTTATATCTTCGCTAAAAGATCATTCTTTATTTCTTTTGACGCTGATTAGTGATTATTTCTGCCTCATATTTCACTAGAATGTCCCGATTGTCGAGGAAGATTGAGCTGCTATTACTGACTAACCAAAGTCCACAGGCAATGTTGCTTCATGAAAGAAAATCACATTTCCTCGCAATTAAAACGAAGCATAACTTTACATCTTCACAGCTTTTGAGAAAGAACGACAGCTAGGTCATTACTCTCATTTTACGTTATGTATGTTACTTGTAAAATAATGTTATTATAAAAACTTGAAAAAGCAACCAAACACTTGAAATAACAATCATATACACATTCATTTTTTACCGGAGTATAGGGAGTTTCGTTTTATGAATAAAGAACTAATGATGCTTGACATGTGGACAATGTGATTCTAAGCAAGACCTTGAGTTTCAAATGTAGAATATCTCTGCATGCAGCCGGCCTCTCCATTGAAACATGAAATCCTTTAGAGAGAACGAACCATTGTAAAAGAAATTAATACTTATAGTTCATTGGATAATTATTTTGTCGATGCTCTTGTGTTTATTTGTTTATCAATCGTTTTTATGCCGCGCGCTTGGTGTACAGGCACTTTCACTAAGTATGTTGATGTTGTGAGTCGCTGATAGTCATCTCTTTTTAGCGTCATGCAAACTTGACGTACAGAAATTTATATTGTGGGGAAGATTATCAGGACGATTTTAGTGAAATGAGAATTCTTTTTTTTTTTAAAACCGCAAGAGCAAGCCTGTAAGTTTCGCGGCCTTGTTAAACTACTGGGCAACCTCCTAGTTAAAAACGAGAAACCCTTCCGTGTAAAATCGAAACCAGGATGTAAAATGTAGCATTAATTTTTATGATTCATAGGATAAATATTTTGTCAATGCAACTGTTATTATCACAAACTAAATGATTTCAGTAATGTTGCGCGCATATACTAGTATCAGAGCAAAGTGTTCCGAATTATTGTTTATTCAGTTGTGTCTTTTTAGAATTTTGTAACTAGCGCACAGAAATTTATATTGAGTGGTGGACTGTTTTCACTCTATTGTTTTCTCGCAATCCTGGAAGCAGCCTTAATAGCTCTAAATGTATTTAGAGCTCCTTTGTTAAATTAGAATTGTTTCTTCCAAAGCGCGCATTCGAAAGTTGACTGCAGCAAAGTAGCGAAACTATAGCATTACGTAATAAGCGCTTTCTATTAAAATGCATGTAACTTGTCTTAGCATCATACCTTTAGGAATAAATTTACTCTATCGTGCATACTAAGTTTGCAAAACAAACGAACTTTAAATTTTTAACCATGAACGGTTAGCTGTGAAGTAATTAGCGGGACTACATGTGATCTGACCTGACTAATACATGTAACGTGTTTGTAAAATTGTTTTAAATGCCGATGTCATTACCGCGCCTTTCAATAACATGCGGACTCAAAGCTCAACCGACAAATACGTTTTTCGCTACCGTCAATCAAATGTTCGGCGGCTCCTCCCAGCTTCCGACTACTGCCGAGCACTGTTTCTTTGTCTGAACTGTGCTAAATGATGTGATTACCGCGCGCTCGGCAGTATTCGGAAGCTGGAAGGAGCCGCCGAACATGTGATTGACGGTAGCGAAAAACGCATTTGTCGGTTGAGCTTTCAATTTTAGAGTCCGCACAGGGAGCCCTCACATCCGTTTAGAATATGAATAAAAGATTAACCTACCTTTATCGCGCGTGTTTTGTGTTTGTGGCGGCCATTTTGAATTTTGAATACGCGCGTGGTCTGCTAGTGCGGAGTATGGAACCGAAATTGCGGAAGTCTGGGACGGGCGGGAAAATTCGGCAATTCTCGGAAGGAGCCGATCGCTCACCGAGGATAATAATTATTATAGGTAGGTATAATTGCTTAATCGTGTGTAAATAAAGATGGCGCCTTTTTTAACATAATTTAGCATTTCGACGAAGTTGTACTTCGACTTCTGGCCCTCATTTTCTTCTTAATTTTCCGTGCCAGCGAAGTTCTTTCAGTATGAAGCTCAGTGTCGTTTCAGGTAGCTAGGCGAAAAGCTGAATTTTTGAGACAGTTCTTCCAAGCCTTTTGCCTTTTTTCCTGCTTGTTTTGAAGGGACGAACGAGGTGTCCCAAAGACTATGATAGCTCTCGAGGTCTTTGTACAGGACAAATTTATGACTTTCCGAGAGTTACTGGTCGACTTCTAATTCAGGCTCGCCTTCACCGTCCGCCATGTTTTTTTTTTATTTGCCGCGCTTCGCGACAGCCAATCACAAGCATTGAATTCAAATTTGTTGTGAGACAAGTTGTAGTTTCAGTGGTAATACGAGCAGCAAAACTAAAATTTGTTGCGGAAAGTAAAACTCGAGTCTACTTTGCGCAACATATTGCCTCAACTTGCAACACTGTATTTTGTAGCGAGACAAGTTGGTCACAAACGTGGTAATACGCGCAACAATGTGTTTCAACTTGCAATGCAACAATGTTGCGAGACAAGTTGAAGGAAAATGTTGCCCGTATTACCGGACCTTAGTCCATGGTTAATCTTTCATTCATATTCTAAAGGGATGTGAGGGCTTCCTGTGAGTCCGCATGTTATTGGAAGGCGTAGTAATGGATTGTCGGTGTTTTAGCTGAAGTTTTTTTGTCCTGGTAACAGCACGAACGACCCAGCTCAAAATTGCAGACGGTGATTTAAAATCGAGTTTTGCGTGTGAGATCTTGAAAATGCCTGTGGTGTTTAAGTTCTAATGGTGGTCAATGTTCCGTTTGAATTTGATGATTAATTTCGTCTTAATGGTTTTCGTTTAATTTAGATTAAATGAGGCACGAAAACTTTGAAATTTGCTTTTCGACAGCTATTCCCGTCCTTAGGGCATGCGGCCATAATAAGTCTTTAAAATGATATCGATTGAACTTCTCTTTCGAATGTAAATCCCCAAGTTCGAGTCGTTAATGGTGAAAATGAGGCAGATAATAACAAACCGGCATCAAAAAAGACAAATCAAATGACATTTTAGGCAAAACATAAAACAGTAGTGACTATTTCAATGCTATCAATCACCGCACTCGTCAAGCGAAGAAAAGACCTGATTGAAAACACATTGCCGTGCCTATCTGCTACACCAAGTCCCTTTTAAATAAATCCTAAATTTACAGGAATGCGGAGGTCTGTTTCCTTCAAGCAAAGAATCAGAGAAATCACTATAAAAGAAATAGGATACAAATAGCAGCGACACTTTTTTTAGTCTATTGCATAAATGTTTTTTCGACGTTTTCGGATTTGATGGCGTGGGCTTAAAATTAGTGTGCACGCACTTTCATTGTAGCGAATGAGTAACTATAACATATTAATATTGTAAGAGTATTTACTCATTTGATATCATTGAATTTTACAGGCAACATAGGGATGCTTTCAAAAGGACTTCAAAGGGACCAAAAGCGACGAAGGTCTAAATCTATCGCCTTATAGCAGTTCTATTTATTGTCGTTAGTTACTTCAACTTAGTGCGCAATAAACAATGTACCTTTCTAAATATAACTGTTGTTTATGTGCCCTTCAGTGGTGATAAGTAATTTTATAAGTAATAAGTCCTTTTGGTCAACTTCTTTCAAAGTGAAATGTTTCAAGTTATTTCTTTTTCAGCGTTATGTAACCGATACTGACTGTGCACATTACAAGCTGTCCAACTAGTGCACGGAAAATCAATATTGAGCTCGAGTGGTGCTCTCTTCCCACTCCACTCTAGAAGTTTAAGTATCGTACAACTTTCATATTCGTACTAGCCGACATTTGTGAAATTAGATTTTTTTTCTCAAAGCGCGCATTCGCAGTTCTGACTGCAGCACACCAACACAACTTCGCATTACATACTAAGTACTCTGTGTTGAAATGCATGAAACTTGTGTGAGCAGCATACCTTTGGGAAACATGCTCAGTTTGCAAAAAATCGAAAGTTTAAAAGTTTAACCACAAAAGGTGGTGCGAGAAGTAATAATCGAAAATGCAGTGATCTTACCTTGGAGATTAGTTGTATAATAGCATTAATATTTTATTATAACCGATGGCGTGTGAGCGAGAAAATCTTCAGGACATGAATACACGTATGGTCACCGTTTTAAGTTAAGCTTTCTTTGAGCTCAATGTGAAAAATTTGAAAAAAGTTATTCTACCCGAGTTCTTCTGGCAAACGTGCAGCCCGAATCGTTTAAAATGCAAACCTGTGTGTAAAAAAAAAACCCTGTAAAAAAAATTGTGTTATTTTAGTACTAATTATCGTCAATAACACTTAGACTTTGGTAATTAGTTGCGTTGAAATTATCATTTTTCGCTCAGCCTGAGGGATACATGAAAACTCTTTCACATCTCTGGATACGGTGAGTTTTTTTTCTCCATAAACACGAGACCACGATCTGAATAACTTCCTAAGTGTAGTCCCTGGTATCAGTTCACTGCTCGTCACTATCTTTCGTAATATTCTGCTCTTGTCAATGGAAAATTCTAAGCAATGCACACTTGTTAAGATTATTGATTCTAAAAGATGTGTTAATGAAATTAAAACCGCAGAAAGCTACACAAGAACAACACTAACTTGAACTCGGTTATCTAGAAGTACTCGCTATCTTGAATTCAAACCAAGAGAGGATCAAGAATTTCTCTCTTGATTCCAACCCATGCCTTTGACTACCTGATTATTAGTCATTTACTATCGTCCAACTCGGGCCCTCTGGTGGAACCCGTAGGGCGAACGGATCGGGACCGCGTAACAGCTGGAGGAGGGCTACAGACCTACAGTCGAAGAGCTTCACCTGGACCAAGATGGAACGCTTGGCAAGCGACAGAGTGGACTGGAGGGTTTCGTTAGTGGCCCGTGCTCCGAAATGGAAAGGCCCGGAAACTTTTCGGGCCCGCGAAGCCATCTTTTGTTAATCTGTATCTAAAAGCAGAAAGGTGTATACTCCTGAAACTTCTTGTATAAGGGAACTTCTCGTTATATTAAGAATATGTAAATAAAATAGCTCTGTAACGATAAGGTTTGAGATTTTGCTTAGGCTTTCCGGGTGAGAAAACTTTTCGGAACCTTCGAGAAACGGCCGCCCAGA